AAAAGTGTTTTCACAGCAAAGATGCAACTCTCATTTGCTATACATACGCTGGTCATAAGCTGGCTTGCTTGTTCAGACTTCTTTCCCTTGTGTTATAATATTGGTATTTAATAGGAAAATAAACTACATAGACTTTTATCTGTATGCATCCATTTGCAAATTTCCTTACAAAAGAGGACAAAGCACATAGGCATTCACAAATTCTATGCCATTTCTGTTAAAATTGGTATCTATACATTATATTACAGTATTAACAATGTATGTTCTACCCATTGGGTAGGATATGTGCATAATATATTCAAGTTATATACAGCACCTTACAAATAAAAACGTAAGAAAAGACAAACAACTGAAGAAGCACCATTGTCAGTGAGGCACAACAAAGGTGGGAGCGCGGAGTGCGGCAGCGGCGGGGGCTCGGGTCCTACGTCTGCTAAACCCAGAACATGAGACAAGGCAGCTGCTTGAAATCTACTGACATGCAGAGCTCTCCGCAGGACATGGATCCGTGTACTATGCATGTATCATGTGGCGACAGTCTCTGTCCCGCGCTAAGCCCCACCACAGTCCACTTAAACAAGCACACACCGAGGGGGAGGAAGGAAAAGGAGGAAAGGAAGACGGTGCTTTGCTTTCATAGCAAGGCATCCACTCACACACGACGGCTTCCGAATGCAGCCAACCCCGAAAGCAGCAGCAGCAGCAGCAGCAGCAGCAGCAGCAGCAGCAGCAGCAAACGGCTGTCTAACCCTGGCAGAAACGATAAACTTGAACTATGCAAAAGATGCAGCACTTTGGGTAGTAACATGGCCTAAGCGGAAATGTAGGGGATCCCCAGGCAGGAGCGTGCTTCCCCTTCTCCATCCACCTCTCTGATCTCTGACAGCTGGCAGCGCGGCCTCGGCCCCTTTAAATCTGTAAAAGTGAGGTGAGCTGCAAAGCTGTGGCCTGGAGTGAAAGCAAAGTTTCTTGATCTGTGACTTGGGTGCGCCACGGTTAGATGCAGTGCTCCTCACAGCGAGGAGGGGGACCTGCCAGCTGCCGCCCAGTCCTGCTACTTTATCTAAATTTGAGGGTAGTGGAGGTGAAGGTAAGCAGAGCGGGAGCCTGCGTCCCTGCTCTTCACTGAGGTTGGGGATGCTGGCAGCAAGCAAGGCGGACTTGGGGGACTATGTCACCGTATGAAGACACAGTGCCAAACACTGGCATAGTTTTGCTTTTAGTCACTTAGACACAATCAGAAAGTTAACAAAAACCAAGTATCTTTCCCAGTTTCCTTCCGTCATACACTGCGGAGCTTTCGAAGTTTTAAGAAAAACGAAATGCATAGCAACGAACATGCAGTGAATGTCGCCGTGCTAAGCAGCAGACCCCGAGAAGCAAGCACCCGTGCGGCAGACCAGCCAGGAGGCGGTTCGGAGCATGCAGCAGCCTGAGTGGCCAAGGATGGACAGACTTTCTCCTGAGGGGCAGGGGCTGGACGGGCATCTCCCTTTGCTATGGACCGGTATCTAAAGGCCATCCCACCAGGACTCTTCCTACAAAGGACTTCCTGGAGACAAGAGCCATTAGATGGAAGATGCAGGATCACCCCTGTCAGGATGCAGCTACTGGTTGCGGGAGGAAGGCAGGGATGTGCATGGGTTCTTCTAGATAACAGACGCTGTCTGAAAGTAGTTGCCGAAGATAAAGGTGAAGAAGAAAAAGGTGGAGAAGATCAAATGGAGATATAAGAAGCTCCAGAAGCACTCATCTGTGTACCACGTTCCCCTGCGGGTGCTGGAAGGCCCCTCTTTCCTCGCCCAGGAGCTCAGTGGCTATCTGTGCACCCTCATGACCAATCTTTGTACGTTTTAAATATTCTTCCCCGCAATCTTGGAATTTCTTGCGGGTTGTGTGCCCGTGCGTATAGGTGATGGGGGAGGCCAGAGGATATGCTTGTCGAGCTTCTTTAACACGGAATTTTGTTTAGAAACACCAAGAATAGTTTAACGTTTTAAATGCATAATTTGTTTAGCACAATCTCTTTGGGATTCGGGACTGCTTCAGTGTCTGAAGAACACGAGACTTTCTGAAAACACAGGTACCTGCCTGAGGGCCGTGCTCCTGTCAATGGGACTCAGCACTGCTGGCGTCATGCTCCAGGCAGCCACTGGGGCGGGCAAGCCACAGCAGGATGCTCAGAGTCCCCTTCCCACCAGCTGCTCTTCTGAACTTGCAAGCCTTTGTTTCAACTCTCTACTGAGGTAACCAACCCATCACTGATGGTCTCAATCACTGCTTTCTCATCGGGGTGCTCGGGCTCCGTAAGCACACAGGCTTCTCCCACCTTAGGCCCCACTGTGCAGGCTGCACCTTCCTCACTCCTCTTTCCACGCCAGGCCAGCGAGGAGCGACAGGTCAGCCACCACCTTCAAAAGAGCTACTGATCTAAATCACCTTTTCCCTGCGCCAAAGGGAAAGTGACTATTAATTAAGTTTATGACGTTGGCTTTTAAACTAATTCATTATGGAGGCCCAGCCTCAAGACCATTCACATTCATGGTTTCAAATGTCTCTGTCTTTAAATAGCTATTTAACTTAAAGGACAATTCTCTAGAGTGGCTGAATGGGAGGAACCTCGCTTTTGAAGGACGATGACATTTATGTGAATTCAATATTTTTTTGCCAATACTGTGGACACCGATAAAAACATTCACATACTTGCAAGATAACTAAGCATCGACAAGTTTCTGACTACAGCTCATTCTTGCAGCAGGTAGGAAAGTGAAGGACTGCAAAACCATGTTGAGCTAGAGTTACAGGGTGGGTTCACCTGCTTTACCAAAATTGCAGGCGAGGTTTGGAATGATGATATCATTAGCTGACCTTGTCATCTTTCATCTGAGGGGACACCTGACCAATAATTTACCCAGCACCTCCACCAGGGGTCCTGACAGGCACAAGTGCTTCCTAACCTTCACCTGACAGGGTGAGACAAGGCTCCATGCCACAAAGGGTGCCAGCTTCCCTCCAGCACAGGCGTGGGATCCAGGCAGTGAGCTGACCGGGTAGTCCCCCCCGCCCCCCCGCCCCGGGGCTCTGCCCAGTCTTGGAATTCCCACTGCGGCTCTTAGCACGCACACGTCCCAACAGAGTCTGTTTATTCTCTCTTTCTAAGAGTTTGGCTAGTTCTGTGGCTGTTACTGGGTGAAATGAATCAATTTAATGAAGAGTCCAATCCTCAAAGCAAAACAAAAACCAGCAGCAGAAAGGAGCAGAAGGCAGGGGACAGGACTTGTAGCTCAGAACAGTCTCTCCAGCTCTCGGCCGACAGCACCAAGTCACCTCACTGACAGATCGTCTGAGACCCACAGACAGACTCAAGCGCGTGTGTTATTCAGCATCAAAACTGCAGCGATCAGTCACTGGGTCATCCTTCCAATCCATTTTGTTACATGCAGAGGCCAAGGGGACTGACCCACGCAGAGCAGGCGGCGGTGTGGCATTGGCTGAACTTGATGGCTGGTGCTATTATAAAAGCCAGATGCTTTCTTCCCCAAAAGAAAGCTGTTTCTTTTACATAAGAACACCTTTTGTAAAGATCAGGAATATTAAAACTAAAACTAACAATATTTAAAATTAGTTTCTATTTGCATTTTAACTGCATGTTGTGCTTTTAATCCTGTGCTTTTGGAGTCGCCCGCCTGCCCTGCCCTGCTGTGGAACTGACCGTCCAGTTCTGGCCACACTGCAAAGGCTGCACGAACTCCCGCGGGAGTGTGGGCTGTGAGCACAGCATTCCCCCGAGAATGCTGCGCCCATTTAGTGACGGGCAATGGCTTGTTATCATGCTCAGCAATGTGGTGTCCTCTGTCCATTCCAGGAGTTTCCAATGAAGAAGTCACTACCAGCATCGCTCACACGCCGAGGCCGGCGGGCTCCATGCGGAGCAACCGCTGAGAGCCCCTCGGGCACTGACCAGCTGTCCAGGACTGAACTGAACTGTCTAGAAAAGGAGGCTGACAACGGGAATACACTGAGAAGTCACAAATCTCAACAGTATTCAAAATAACCACCTTGCATTTTAAACAATTTATTGCATAAAATTATGTATGAGTCTACTTCATGCTACAGTGAAAAAAAACAACACCTAAGTTACTGAAGAACTGCACTGCTGGAGGGCGAGGGCACTGCGATACTGGATGGTCAATGCATGTGTCGGTCACGTTTAACAGAACAGGTGGCCTAGGCTAGCAGAGTAACTCAGCAAGTCCCAAGTGCTGGACCTTCATGTTCCTATCTTACACCCAAAGGCCTCCATGCTTCAGACGCCCTGCTCTCTGCTGCAGACTCTCACAGCAGTAACGACCTTCTTGATGTACACAAGTCGGCATGTTAGGCTACGTCCCCAAACATCTTTTCTGGCATGATTACGGGAAGCACTCCAGGGCATTCCTTAGGCCTAATCATAATCCACAGGTGAAGAGACAACATACAGAACATCACATAAAACAGTTCCCTCATATATATTTTCAACATTAAGATAGTGCAACTTTTAAAAACACATCATCATAACAACACAAATCAACTCCTTGCATTCATCGAGCTTCCCCACTTTATACCTTGGCACACAAAAACAGGAATTTTGAATCATATTTTTAAAACAAAATAAAAGTTCCACACCTTGGGAGAAAAAGCAAACTGGCCAATTCTTCCCCATGATAATATATAATAATGCTTCCTTCTTTATTTAGTTAATTATAAATTTAAGGCCATTCTGGCCTCTTTCTCTGCAGTCTCCTTTCATAATTAAATAAATCAAATACCTCTGTGTTTTATTTCATGATATAGTCAAAGCACCCCTTTCTCTGTTCCCATGCCCACCCTTTGCCAAAACCACCCCCCTCCCGACGCCTGCCCCAGAATAAACACTGTTGACGGTCAGACCGGATGGAAGTTTGTATTGTTTCAGTCTGGTTTGCATGCAATTCCCCTGAAAGGAATCAGAAACAAAGACCACATTTGCATATTTGGTTTTACTTAGTTGTCGCACGTAAAACTGAACAACACTGTGCCCGGGAGCGGAGGAGCTGAGCAGTCCTCCTCCGTCCTCGGTTTCTTCTCCACTCAAACGCATGCTGGAGGATCAGACGAGATTCCCAGGCTTCCTGTCCTTGCCCTGGATGGGCACCGCCGTGCTCCCCGCGCTGTCGTGCTGAAGTGGCAGTCTGCCCCCTCTGTGCGTGTTGCTGTGCTGGTGATGGAAGAAAGAGGCTCCTGGGTAGTGGCCCATCACCTCGCTGTAGGTCGGGGGTGGCCCCTCCATCCTCCCGTTACTGCTGCAGGTGCTGGCACTTATGCCCGAATTGCTGCTGGGCGGGCATGGGCCCCCGTTGTACACAGAGATGTCTATCAAATCGCTGTCGAATATGGTCCGGTTGGGCGGGGCCCTCACAGATTCTCGGTTGAGTTCCATCTGCTGTTCGGGGTCCCTGAGCTGCAAGGTGCAGGGCCCCTGGTAAGGAGGCGGCTCCTCCCCGTCAGACAGGGAGATGGTGGGGGGAAGGTCAATCTCGTGCTGCACGTAGGGGTAGGTGGGCTGAAAGCGGCTGAACCGGTCCCTCTGGATAAAGGACGGGGCAGTGAACCTGTCCCGAGACCGTGGGGCATACATGATCTGCCAGGAAAAGAGCAAAGGCTTGAAGACATTCTTGGCTCAATAATGATCACAAACACGACGCTATAAGAACAGCCCCACTTGGTCTGTGTTCTCAACCGTCTGAAACATTTCCCCCTCCAACAAAACAGGGAGAGATTACCCCAGAAAAAATGTAGTTGTATTATTCCTCACGAGTTAGACCCCTCACCTTGCCAAACTATAGTTTATCCAAGACGATTCAACAATGGACAATGCGGTTAACTGAAAATTTGGGTTTAATGGGAATTACTGCATATGTTACGTATGTGTTTCCCACTGGGCCAAGTGTGAGTGTGTGTGTGTATATATCCATCCATCGACTTCTCCCACATCATATTTTTAAATTAAAGGCAAAATAACTATGTTAGTTTTACGTCATTCTATTAAACTTGGAGATGTGGAAATGAATCATGCTGTATTTATAAACTATGCCCACTTTTGCAGAGTCTCATTGTTTGCAGCTTATGGGATCACGTAAAGATCAGTGATTCTCAACCTGTTTTCTGTAGGGAGCTCTAGACTAGCACAAATAATCCCTAGGAGACTCTAAAAATCCCCTCCCCCACGTTAAAAACCAAAGTTACAGGCATATGCCTTAATTTAAATGTTATTTCCTAATCTACACTGTCATACATTTGACTTTTCCACCTATTTTGTTGTAATGGCACATTTCCCTCCTCCCCTCTCCCATCACATCGGGCTGAGCAGCCATCTCCAGCCACCCACATCCCTCCCTTGTCCAACCCCTTACCTCCGAGGCACCAGGCTGAGGACCAGAGCTGTCTGAAGGCCACAGGCGCCCTTCCTGGCAGGGGGTGGGAGGGGGACATCACAAGAAAATCATTAGTTTCATGCTGCAGCACCTAAAATCAAGGAACCACATTCCTCTTGGACAATGGCAGACCTGTTTAAGTCACAGAATAACAAAGAACTGGTCCTTTTATTACACCGAAATTATTACACAAAACAGTCTCCTTATTACACAAAAGGAGAATTGTGGCCAAAAGGAAAGTTAGAATGTGCGTGTTTGACATATACTCCAAATGTCATCAAACCGTATTCTATCACTGCCTAGATTTGGGTAGAGTCTGGGTCTTTAAGCTCATTTGTTTGTTTTAATTCTCACCAGAGGATATTTTTTCCATTGATTTTTTTAGAGAGAGTAGAAGGGAGGAAGGGGGAGAGGAGAGAAAGAGAGAAACATTAATGTGAGAGACACATCAACTGGTTGCCTCCCACACTTGCCCCAACCAGGGCCGAGGAAAGATCCTGCAACCCAGGTATGTGCCCTTGACTGGGAATCCAACCCGTAACCCTTCAGTGCTCAGGCAGACACTCTAACCACTGAGCACACCGGCCAGGGTTGGGTGCTTAAGCCCTTATGCAGGTGTGCATGGCCACAGCTGGCATGCCAGCCAAGGCCCTGCGGAACGGGGCTTTGAGGTGAGCAGCAGCACAGGTTAAAGCACCGCCCGCCACACTGTGCTTTCACACTGAAAACAGAGATTCCAGAGCCTGGCTGGCCTTTGAGGGTCTAGCCAATCTATTCTTCAGTCCCTTTATTCCCAAGGCAGATGTAACTTGACATCTAGCTGTGGGGCGGTAATGGCCACAGGTGCATTTGTTTTAACTTTTTTTGTATTACCTTTCTATTCTGAGTTCAATAAATAGTTTCATAATTTCAAACTTCAATGTTTCTAATTTACACCTTTCTTTACTATATTTTACGAAAAAGGTAGAAACATTAATACATATATCTTTCTGTTTAATTGCTATTAAAATTTTAAAAAAATTAATTTCCAGGGGGCGCTGAGTAATATTTTTTCTGGAAAGGGGGCGGTAGGCCAAATAAGTTTGGGAACCACTGGTCTAGCCAATCTATTCTTCAGTCCCTTTATTCCCAAGGCAGATGTAACTTGACATCTAGCTGTTTAACATCTTTTTTCAAATATGTTTGACCAGACTGTCAAGGTGACAAGCTTTTCTAACACCATAAACTTGTTTACAAAGCACTTCAATATGTTTTCCCTTTTGAACCCAAATTGTTGGCAAAGGTCTGTTGGGCTACTCTAAGGGCCTGTTATTGTCATAAAGAGAAGAACATGGGCGAACAGGAGCAGATGTCTGCACTTTTGGATTCCCAGGAATATTCATACATGACCTTGTGCCATCACTGAGCCTCCTGAGAACCTGAAAGCACCCACAAGTAGACCTGCAAGGTGAGACACCCCCAAGTCCCTGTTTTGTATTCTGTAGGCCAGCATTCTCATACAAACACCCCATCTGGACAACAGGTTGTTTAAAAACCAAATACATACAACCTGATCTTACGGCCCTTGCAGAACACCATGGACTCAGCAGCAAAAATAGGAACAGACCAGCAGTGTTTAGAGGAAGTTTGGGCTTAAGGTGTGACTATAAAATTATGTAGTGAGCAATCATGGCTCTGGCCTGGCGACAGGTGACAGATCTCATCAAATCTCAGGAAGTGGCTGAGCCACACCCACGGACAGCCCTGCACCAGGCCAAGGCAGCTTGCAAAGCACGCCAGAGCCTGGGCTCCTCTGCACCAGGAGGAACAATCACTGTAGTTCTGGGCTGTTACAGCAATTCTCGTATTGAAAACAACATACAAACTCATCCTGGGATGTTTCTAAGACTCTGCCCTAGCTCCTCAATGAACACTCAATCTTACGTTTCACCCAAATCACATCCATTATTAAATCCATTCAGCACTTTCTGGCCCTCCTCTCCCCTGGCTCCCAGCAGCACTGAACCCTCTCTTGTTGGCTCAGAGACATCACCCCTCCTGGTTCACACCCAGACTTTTCTGGCCACTCTCCTGCTCTTCCGGGGGTGCCCCTAACTCTGCATTCTGGTTGAATGTTGGAGTTCCTGAGAGTCCTATCTGGGGCCCCTCTCCTCTCAGCACAGTCTCCCTAGGCTACCTCATTCCCTCCACAGCTTATAGGACCGTCCATATGTGGTGTGTCCACATTTGGGCTATTGTGAGTAATGCTGCTGTGAAGAAGGGTATACGAATCTCTCTTTGAATATCTGCTTTTCATTCTTGTGGATATACACACAGAAGCAGAATTGCTGGATCATGTGATAATTTATGTTTAATTTTCTGAGGAGCCACCATACTGTTTTTCAATAATGGCAGATCCATTTTACATCCTGACCAGCGATGCACAGGGTTCCAATTTCTTCACATCTTTGCCAGCACTTCTTATTTTCTGTTTCTTTAATAATAGCCATCTCAGTGGGTATCTCATTATGGGTTTAAGTTGTGTATGATTAGTGCATTAAGTCAGGGTTCTCCAGAGAAACAGAACCAATAGGATGTGTGTGTGTGTGTGTGTGTGTGTGTGTGTGTGTATTTATATATATGATAGGAGCTGGCTCATGTGGTTATGGAGTCCCACAATCTGCTAGGTGCAAGATGGACAGCCAGGAAAGCTGGTGGTATAGTTCAATCTGAGTCTGAAGGTCTGAAGGCCACTGGTGTAAGTCTTAAGGACCAAGAACCGGGAGCTCCAATAGCAGAGGGCAAGAGAATAGAATGTCCCAGCTCAAGAAGAGAGATTTGCCTGCCTCCACCTTTTTGTTCTATTCAGGTCTTTGGGGTATTGGAAGATGCCATCCACACTGGTGAGAACAGATTTTCTTCATTCAGTCTACTGAGTGAATGTTAATCTCTTCTGGAATTATTCTCCTAGAGACATCAGAAATAATGTTTTATCAGCCATCTGGGCATCGCTAAGCCCACTTGTGTTGGCACGTAAAATTCGTCATCACAATTAGTGATACTGAGCTCTTTTCAGGTGGTTTTGTATATCGTCTTTGTAAAAATGTCTATTCAAGTCCTTTGTCTATTTCGAAATTGGGTGGTCCATTATTTTGCTGTTGAGTTTTAGGAGTTCTTTATATATTCTGAATATTAACCTCAATCAGATATATGATTTGCAAATATTTTCTCCCATTCTCCCAGTGGCCTTTCACTCTCTTGATAGTGTCCTTTGACAAGCCAACGTTTTTAATTTCTAAAGGTCAGTTTATTATTTTCGTTTTGTTGCCTGTGCTTTTGGTGTCATATCCAAGAAATCATTGCCAAATCCAATGTCATGAGTTTTTCCCCGCTACTCTCTTTAAGAGTTTTAACTCTTACATTTAGGTTTTAGATCCAAATTGAGTTAATTTTTTGAATATGGTGTAAGATATGGGTCCAGTGTCATTATTTTGCATGTGGATATCCAGTTTTCCCAGCACCATTTTCGAAAATACTGTCTTTTCTCCTTGAGTAGTCTTGGCCCCCTTGTCAAAAATCATTTGACCATATATGAGAAAGTTTATTGCTGAGCTCTCTCTTCTATCCCATTGTCTCTCTTTATGCCAATACTGTACTGTTTTTGTCATTGTAGCTTTGTAGTAAGTTTTGAAATTAGAAAGTGTGAAATGTCCAACTTTGTTATTCTTTTTCAATATTATTTTGGCTATTTGGGATGGTGCTTCCTTGAGGTAGCACATGCATTTTAGGATGGACTTTTCTATTTCTGCAAGAAACATCATTGAGATTTTGATAGGGATTGCACTAAATCTGTGGATTGCTTCATGTAGTACTGACATCTTAATATCAGGCTTTTTAATCCATGAATAGATGATCCATTTATTTGTATCTAATTTCTATCAGCAACATTGTACAATCGTCAATATAATCTTTTACCCCCTTGGTTAAGTTTATTCCTAAGTATTTTTTATGCCATTATACATTGGATTTTTTAAAATTTCCATTTTGATTGTTCATTGTTAGTGTAAAGAAATGCAACTGACTTTTGCATGTTAATTTTGTATCCTGCAACTTTGTTAGATTTGTTTATTAGTTCTAGCAGGTGTTCTTTGTTTGTTGGACTCTTTAGGGTTTCCTACATGTAAGGTCATGTTACCTGTTTATAGGATAATTTTTACTTTTTCCTTTGTAGTTGGAATGCCTTTTATTTCTTTTTCTTGCCTAATTGCTCTGGCTAAAACTTCCAATAAATACTATGTTGAAAAGAAGTGGTAAAGCATGCATCTTTGTCTTGTTCCCGATCTTAGAGAAACAGCTTTGAGTCCTTCACCATTGAGTACAATGTGAATTGTGGGCTTTCCATAGAGGGTCTTTATTATGTTGAGGTAATTTCCTTCCATCCTAGTTTGATGAATGTTTTTATCGTGAAAAAGGATTGTATTATGTCAAATATTTTTTTCTGCATGATGTGGTGACCATGTAGTCCCCCCCTTCATTCTTTTAATGTGGTATATTACACGTATTTTTATATGTAAAACCATCCTTGCATTACAAAAATGAACTCCATTTGGTCATGGTGTATAATATTTTTAGTATGTTACCAAATTCAGTCTGCTAGTATTTTGTTGAGGATTTTTGCATCAATATTCATGAGGGATAATGGTTTTCTTTTCCTGTTGTGTTTTTGTCTGGCTTTGGTATTAGGGTAATGCTAATTCACTAGAGTTTGAAAGTATTGGTGTCAATTCTTCAGATGTTTGGTACAATTCACCAGTGAAGCCATCTGGTTATTTGTTGGTAGGCTTTTGATTACTAATTCAATCTCCTTAAGAGTTACAGATCTATTCAGATGTCCTATTTCTTCATGATTCAGTCTTAGTAGGGTGTGTTTCTAGGAATCTGTCCATTTCATCTAGGTTATTCAATTTGTTGATATACAATTGTCCAGAGCACTCTCTTATAATCTTTTTTATTTCTATACTAGAGGCCCAGTGCATGAAATTCGTGCACTGGGG